ACTTAATGCATTTGTCAAATCTGTGATTCCATTCATGGAAACAGTTTTCAACTCTTCTTTTTGGAAGGCTGACAGCACCTTCCTTGTTTTTTTCTTCACCTTGTCTATGTCTTTAGATCACGGTCCTTTCGTGTCCTTCTTCATTCGTGGAAACAAAAAGAAGTTGCACAGAGTGGAGTCAGATGAGTCAGGTGCGTGGGGCAAGAGAGACATGCTGTTTTTTGCTCAAAACCGGTGCACTGAGATGACTGTGTGCACAGGTACATTGTTGTGCTGGCAAAACCAGTCCTTGGTCTTCCACAAAGCAGGCCTTTTTTGTCACACACTGTTACTCAATCGTTTCAGAACCTCTACATATAAAGCTTGATTAATAATCTGACATGGTTGAATGAACTCCAAATGCACCACGAGTTGACTTTTTCGTCCATTTGGGAAATTGACTGGCATCCAGAATGAGGTTTGTTATCAAGTGACATTTCATTTTTTCTGAAATGAGAAAACCACTTGTACACTTGAGTGTTTCTGATAGCACTATCCTTGTAAGCTGTGTTCAACATCCCAATAATTTCTGTAGCATTTTTCTTGAGGCAGAAACAAAATTTTACAGTCGCATGTATTCTCTTAAATGGGCTGTCACAAAAAAAAACAAGGTGCGAGTAAAACTTCTTTTACAAAAAAATTCAATGTGACCAGAGAGAACCTTCCCAGATGATGCCACTGAATGCACTAACTCAGAATTAGTTGCTCAATGAAAATGCATACTACAAAAGCCCGCTCCACCCAGCACAATTCTGTTTTTGGGGGGGTACCCCATGTGTGTTTGCGTGTGTGTGTGTGTGTGTGTGTGTGTGTGTGTATCACCGGTTTTGATTCCCTAGATAACCCAGCTGAACACATTCCTTATATCCAAACAAGGTTATAGTCATAGATACCATTGCGTAAGGCTTCAGCATTATAAGGGGGCCTCGAAAAGTTCATGGAAAAACTCCATTTTCTCTTAACCCTATTTTTTCTCATGAACTTTTGAATACCTCCTTCATAAAGTTTTAGGGGATATCGTACAATCTATAATAGACACAAAGCTTGTGTTTGAGGGGAGAGAAAGGGGGCTACCAAATTATAATAGCATAAATAGGTCTTAGCTCAGAATCATTTAAAAAGTGTATTTCTATAGTGAGGAAAAATGTCAATTTACTTATGCTAAGCTGCAAAGATACATACTCTCACACTATACATTGAATTGTCAAAGATCAATTAACTTCCCTTTGGGGGCTCAAGTGCAATTCCTGTGTAACAAAGATTGGTTTCATGGCATTTTGTTTCCTTGCTCCAAGCATATTTGAAGAGACTTTAACTAGATATTTACCAGGATAAGCCATCCCAGAGAAGGTACACAGGGAATCCTCACATACAGCAGGGTTTGGCCCAACCGAACTCTGCCTTCTACATGTGTGTGGTATGTATGTGCTCATCTCCATAGGTGGACACTGTGTGACTGACAGGGCAGCAAGTCCAAGTCCAATCCTAGAGGGAAGGAAATCTACCAGAACGGTTCCCCCAAGGACACTTGCTCCGTTCTCTCTTGGGGGGAAACAAGCAACTATGGAGAGTCTAGCTGAAGTTGCCAAGGGAGAAAAGAATGACGCAGAGCCACATGAGCTGGCATCAAAGGCTGCTGCAGATGGTGCTGGAGAAGGGAGCCAGTGGTCAGTTGGACATCGGGTGGGACAGATAGCCATCTGTTGCCACAGCTCAGATCCAACTCTGCTCTGGGTTCACAATAGCCAAGAGGTAGAAATGACCCAAGTGACCATGAACAAACAAAATGTGGAGCATACATTTTTTTTTAAATGTCACTGAAACTCATTACATAGGGAGAAATACTCTAACAAATAGAGGTGGCAAGCCTGGATACGCCTTTGCAGAAAAAGAAAACGACCCGTATCGCTCGTGGTTCAAAGATGAACTCAGGATGGACCAAAGACCTCAATGTAAAATCTAAGACTCAATGAAAAGATCAGCAAAGAAAAAATAGGGCCAAACATAGGGGCCCTGGGACATGGCACAAATACACTACCAAACAAAACCACAAACACAAACAGCAGAAGACAAAGAGGATGGCGGGGACCACTTGAGCATTAAACCACTTAAGCTTATCAAAGTGATTTCATCCAAAGAATAAAACGAGAACACACAGACTGAGAAGAAACTTTTGGCATTTCCTGAACAGAAAGACAAAGCAGAGAGAGATTGTGGCCCAAATCCAGGGAGAAAGAGAGGAAGTTCCCAGACTGAGAAGGCCACACCCCCAAGGAGGCCTCAGCAGGCTCTGACCTGATTGACAAGCTAGACTCCACCCCTACACTTATTTAGCAAGTTGACATGAAATGATGTAACCAGCACACCATCTTCTCAGATCACAGAGCCATAACGCTGGAAATCAACAACAGAAATAACAAAACCACAAAGATAACACTTGGAGAGTCAATAACACAGTTCCCAGAACAGAATGGTTAATAGCCCCAATTAAGAGGAAATTAGGAAGTTCCTAGAAACCAATGAGAATGACAACACAACATACCCAAACCTATGGAACACAGCAAAGGCAGCTATCAGAAGTCACTTTATTGCAAAAAATGCACACATGGAACAAGAGGAGAGAATTTGGGTCAGCACCTTAACACAGCACCTCCAGCAGTTAGAACAGAGTCAACAGCATAATCCTTCCAATAGCAAAAGAAATCATCAAAATTTGAGCGGAAATAAATGAACTGGAAAACAGAAGAGAAGTGAGGAAAAATCAACAAAGCACAAAGTTGGTTCTTTGAGAGATCAACAAAATCGACAAACTGCTAGTAAACTTAACAAAGGAAAAGAAGGAGCCGACATCAATATCTAGAATTAGAGATGAAACAGGGAAGATCACAATTGACTTAATGAAATAAAAGGATTAATAATTGAGTGCTACAAAATACTGTATCCCAACAAATTCAGTAACTTGGAGGACATGGACAAATACCTGGAAAATCACTCTCTCCAAATTAATGCACATGGACTTAAGGACTTGGACAGAAAAAAAAAGACCTTGAACAGACCCATAACAAAAGAAGAACTAGATAGTCACCAAGAAACTCAAAATGGAGACATCAGACAGTGTAAGCCATGACAAAATAATAATAATTTATAAATTATCAAGGGTTCAGGAGGGAGGGAGAGTGGGGAAGGGAGGGGGAAAATGAGGAGCTGATGCCAAGGGCTCAAGTAGAAAGAGAATGTTTTGAAAATTATGGTGGCAACAAATGTAAAAATGTGCTTGACACAATGGATGGATGAATGGATTGTGATAAGAGTTGTACGAGCCTCCAATAAAATGAGATATAGATATAGATATATATATATATAAAAAGAAAGAAACTCGAAATGAGGAGAGAGAGAAGGGCCCAAACCAGAGGTCCAAACCCAACTCACAGGGGTGACCCCGTGTGTTGCAAAGTAGAACTGCTCGCCACAGCGTTTCCTTGCCTGTGCCTTTCAGAACCACATTGCCAGGTTTTGTTCGGAGGCATCTCTAGGTGGGTTTGAACCACCCACCTTTCAGTTCACAGTTAAGTACTATAGCCACTCCGGCCACCCCACGGATGCCAACTAAGGCTCTGAGAGGTGAAATATTTGGCTAATAAAGACTAATGAACAAAAAACACTCTTTTCGGTTTTCCACGTCACATAGCAATGTGTTCACTCTATTCTATACCCAAGTCTACAGAGCAGCTTTTCGATGCTCTCATAGTCCACTAGGGAGGTGACTTGTCTGAGCTACCTGGAAGCCACCTGGCCTGCGTGTGACAGGAAGCGAGGGGGGCTGAGATGTTTGTGCTGACAAGCCTGGGCCCCGATTCCCACGTCTCAACCCCGAATATGGAGAAAACTGCTAATCACCGGGCAAGTCCTGGGAGCTTTCAAAGTCCTGGCAAGCCCACGGTAACCAGAGCTGGCCAGCATGTGTTCCTGCGTGTCGGACAAGGCTCTATATTTACCCTGCAAAGCCCTTTAGAGCAACTGAGGGTTATAAATAGTCACTTAGGGCCCAAGCGAGTGGCCTTAACACATGGATTTCCTTCCAAACATACAGACCTGTTTTAATTACATGGACACCTAACCTTGGGGGAGGGCTGGCCCCCTGGATTCAGTGCTGCTTCTCTGGAGATACTGTGAGTAATTTCCTATGCATTGGACAAGTTGGAGATTAGCCCAAGCTGTTCCACTAGGACTCCACCCTCTGAAAGCTTGCACGGAAGGAGCAGAGTGAACGAGCCCTCGCGGCCTGGGCCTCACTCGTCCCAGGTGTGGACATCTGCATCTTCCAGCCTTGCCACGTCTTCTTCTCCTTTCTTCCCCAGCGCAAGATGGGAGTCATGGCAGTGCTGATGCTGCCCCTCCTGCTCCTGGGGGTCAGCGGCCTCCTCTTCATCTACCAAGAGGTGTCCCGGCTGTGGTCCAAGTCGGCCGTGCAGAACAAAGTGGTGGTCATCACCGATGCCATCTCAGGACTGGGCAAGGGTAAGCTGGTACCTGCCCTTGGGGAACAGACGGGGGTGGGGAGGTGATGTTTGGGGCAAGCCCGGTGGACAGGGGCTCAAGTACCTTTTTCTTTGGGAGCTGGCCTCTGCCTAGCCTGATGCACGAAATGACTGGGATTGCCAACCCACAGGATAGAGGTCGAAATTGGCCTGCAGACGTGAACTCTTCGCCTCCGTGGGATTTGCAGACATTTAGACATGCAGAACCCTTATCTGGGGCAGCATCACCGTTAGGGCTTAGACAGGGGAGCTGGGCTTAAGTACTCGGTCTAGCATTCACTAACTGGGTGATTTGGGCATGTCACGTCTCTATCTTGGTTTTCCCATCCGTAATGCAAGGATAATAGTGGCCTCTAACGCAGACTGCTGTTGCCAAAAGCAAATGAATTACATTGGGCTGCTAACTGCAAGGTCAGCAGTTTAAAACCATCAGCTTCTCTGCAAGAGAAAGACAGGGCTTTCAACTCTCATCCGGAGTTCTAGTCTCAGAAACGCACAGGAGCAGTTCTAACCCCATGCTACAGGGTCACTGTGAGTTGGAATTGACTCGATGGGGGTGAGTTTGGTCTTGAGCGCCTACTGTCTGTCATAGGCACCATTCGTTCGGTGTTAGTAATGATGAGGGTGAATAATTTTAGGTAGAATATGTACACTCCAGCATGCCATGCCCCGTACCATTCCCTACTGTGTCACATGTGGCTGCACTGTACTACACTCCCACCATATGACCTCCCGGCTGTGAGGGCATTTGTGTTTGCAACACCTGAATCGGTTCATCTCAAAGGCCCTTCCACTGACAGCACTTGAGATACAGCTGAAGTGAAGTAGTTAGTTAGCTAGCTAGTAATTGTCACGGTGTTGGCTCCATGTATGGGGACCTTATGTATACTAAAGCAAAATGTTGCCTGGTCCTGTCCCATCTTCACAATTATTGGTATGTTTGAGTTCATTGCTAAGGATATTATCTCAACCCATCCCATTATGGGTCTCCCCATTCTTTGCCAGCTGTAATGTCCTTTTCCTAATGACCTGGCCAAGGTAAGTCTGCCGGATGGGGGTAGTAAATAGTCTTAAGTGGGTGATATTTTG